TGACAGATCGTTTAATAACCCTTGGCCTCAGTTTCCTGCTTTGTAAAATGAGGGAGCTGGGATTGATGGCCACTGAAGTCTCTTCCAGGCCTAGATCTATGATCTGGCCTGAGCTACGGGTGGACTCCACTAGGCATCCGGAGGTAGACACTGGCTGAATCTCTCAGTAGGAGCAAACACCTGCTAGACGCTATCTCCCTCCCCCTCTCCATCTTTCTTCCCAGTATCCCTCCATAAAGGGAGATGGGTAAAGTTCCTATGTTCTCATTGGCTTCCAGACAGAAAAGAAATGAAGTGGATCGCACTAGCTTCTTCTATGGAAGGCATAATACCTCGCAGAGTGGCCCAGACTTACTGCAACTCAGTTGAGGGACCCTCTCCTCTTCTAAATAGTTCAAATAAAGTGGGCTTTTTGGCTATAAGGATAGGGACTGGACCTGGGAGTGAACTGGTGTGGGGAACTCCCAGATGAGGAAAGTCTCTCTACTAGTTCAGGGCAGCACCTGTTCTGAAACATACTCTTACAGTGTTCCTAAGAGCTCAGTTTTAAGTGACTTGCCCGGCATTGCTCGGCCAGTAAGTAAATAAGAGGCAGGATGCAAACACAGGTCCTTCTGGTTCTAAGGCCAGCTCTGTACACCATGCCAGGCTGCCCTTCATGAATACACCCTGTAGATTGAGATTTAAGGAGGACGTGGCTACACAATTCTATCCCTCAATATCCAGAACTGGGCTTCTTTAGGTAAGAAAGCACAAGATGTGTCCCCGGGACAGGGAAATGTCGGCCTGGCTACATCTGAGGGCTCACACAGGGGCAGGACAGGGAATGAGCTTGGAAATGTGGGCTGAAATCAGACTGTGGACAGCCTTGAAAGCCACATTCAGAAGCTGGAGTCAGTAAAATTTTCTCTTCAGGAGACTAACACAGGCAAAGCAGCATTTTTTTGTTCTTTAGCAAAATTAATCTAGTAGTAGGGTTCCAAATGGAGGGGAAGGGAAGGCAGAGAAGAGACAGGAAGAGATTATAGTAGTCTAAGTGAGAGGTGACATGAGGCTGATCTAGGGAGGTAGCAGCAAGAGAGAGAAAAGGAGAGATTTGAAGGGAAAAAAAACCAGTGTTAAGAAGGAAAAAAAAACACAAAAACCAGCAACCCAGACTTGGTGACTGATTAGGTCTGTGGGAGGGAAGGTAAGGGTGGGGGAGGGAACAGAAAAGGGAAGCATCCGGGAGAATTCTGAGGTCATCTTTGCAGCAGGATCCAGCAACATGAATAGCACCTAGGGCTTGCCTGGAGAGAAGCACCTTGCAAAGTGTTCTGCGCACAAACACAGTCCTAAAGTGAGCTGGGACTTTACACAAACAGAAATCAATTATCATCTGGCAGAAGTGGGGTCTGCCTTCCCAGCTCCCAAGTTTCATTTGTCCCCAGCTGACTTATCTGTCAGACTTTGGGGATCTACATTCTTTATTTTTATTTTCGAAAGCACTAAACTAGGCCCTTTACCTCATCCCCAATAAATCTCTGTAGCACTCAGTTTTGAGGCAGGTGGGGGTGGGAAGAGGGCTAAGGTGGCATCTAATAATTAAGTTTGAGCTTTGAGAAGAAAGTCTGATTTTTAACAGCAGTGCATCATATACCTATGTCAGACATCTCCCAAAGCCCACAGGGGGAATAAAGAAAGGTAGACAGTTGTTGGGGGTGGAGTGAGGAATGTGACTGTGGCACGTGGGCTGAGCTCATGACCACCTCATTCCTCAACTACAGGAAAGGGTAGCACAAGGCCATTGCTATGCTTAAAAAAATAAAACCAAATGCTGGGTAATTATAGCCAAGTTTGGTCCCAGGGAAGAGTTGAGAAAATGTACCTTCATCCTCTTTTTTGCTGAGGTGGGGAAACTGAGTGTGGAATATTACAGATACTATTGGACAGAGCTGATGTGTTGGCTGGTTTTGCTGAAACGTTTTTATTTTCCTCTTTTATTCTTTGTTTTTGAAGGATGGTGGGGGAGGAGGGAGAGATGTATTTGGAAATGAAGGTGACTTAAAAACAAAAGAGATCAATAAAATATCTTTAAAAATAAAAAAAATAAACACATGCAAAAGAAATCTGCTGTATCTGGTTATTATGCCAGTAGTCTGGAGAAACTCACTATTCCTTGGGGACTGCTGCTGTCACTGAGGGAGAACATATGCTTTTTCTCTTATTTCTATTTATTTTTGAGAAGAAGAGAGAGAATTAACCCTGTGTGTGTATGTGTCGTATTTTCAAGTTTATTTAGGAACCATCCTGAGGGCCACACCACCTAAAACTACTCAACTTTCCATCGTTTTGTTTTTTCAAAAATGAAATATAGAAACCAACAATGTCAGTAGGCCCTAAAACAGGTACCTGTGGAGGCCTGGATCCCATGCTACCCTCTTACAGAGAGGCTGCACAATTTTTTTCATTGGTATTGAAGGGAAGGATAGAGTTTCAGTTCCTGGTCAAATATTACCTAGAAACAAAACATCCTTTCCTCCCAAACAAGCCATGTTGCAGGGAATTGGAAGGGGAGAGTTTAGGCCAATGAACTTTAGCTCTCTTATGCAAACTGGTAGCTGATTTCAGAGAGATGTCTGGGGTGGAAGATAATGGGACATTAATGCTGATACCATCTATCACTGTTTACAGAACACTTTACAAGGACTAGTCTATGGAAAGGTCAGAGCAAAGTAAGTCAAGTCAGTTCCAGTTCAAGGCCTAGAGCAAAAAGAGAAATATTTTTGACTGAGGGTAGGGGGAAATCATGAGTATCACCTAGCCTTTTTGGTCTTGTCCCCTTATCACATACATTTTGTCCTCGCAATCTTGGAAAATAATTCCTTAGGAAACTGTGCTGAGTAGAAAAATACTTGTGTTTTCCCTATAAGATGGGCTCCACTGCTTAGAACAAAGGTGAATGGGGGGGGGCTTCTATCTTGAGCAGTAGAAAATGACACAGGTAGGCTTAAATGACAAGCAGAAAGAATCAAAGCAAGGGTGGGAGTACCATGAGAACTCAACAGTCATTTGTTGATAAACCTAAGTTGGCCTCACTTGAATTAGGTCACAATCAATGAATGTCCATCAATCAAATTGTGGGTTTTGGTCCTCCCAAGATGTGATAACCCCAGTTAGGGTAGGTAGTCACTAAGTAATCATGAAGGTAGGATGTGTGGGGCGAAAGGAGAACCAAGAACAATGGCAGAGCAAGCAAACAAAATTGTCTTTAGTGAAACAATGAAATGAAAGTAAAAAACAAAAACAAAAACAAAAACTGAAATCACAATGTCCCATTCCAGGGAGTCCTAGGACCCAGTGCTTCTCTCCCAAAGGTCAGGGCTCTGGAAGCCTGCTTATGATACTGAGACACAAAAAATCAATGAGGCAACAGCAACATGAAACTACTCAGTAGAAGAAGTAGCGATAAGAAAAACAAGCCATGTTACCCACAGGCTAAGTGTTAATACCTGGACTTCCAGTCACCCCAAGTCTCAGCATTTGTTAATGACTAAATCACTCAATGCAAGGTAGCCACCTCTAAGAGGAGCCCAAAAGGTAGATGTTGACCTATCTGCTATCACTGAGTCTTTACCACCTGAATGGGTCTATTAATTACGCAAAGTGAAGATCCTTGGGGAGAGGGGGAATTCTTCTTTAAAATATTTCAATTTTTCATCCTGGACCAACATTACTGCCCTAATGTACCCTTGGGTTAATACTAGAAGGATCAAGTATGTTAACTGATAGAAAAATTAAAAATTAATAATTTTACTATTTACAATTTACAGTAATTTATAATTCACTATAATTTCTCCTACCTGTGCAAACCTACTTGAAATACAAGTAATTAAAAGTAGATATTATCATTTTATTTTGAAATTAAAATTTTGATTATATAATCTCTGTTTTATTGCCTTGTGGATTTAAAAAAAAATGCACTACATCAATTAATACAGTTTGGTCCTTTGAGGTATTCTTAAATTCTAGTCCTTGTGTTAATTACCCTCTTCATCCTCCACTGCCTCCTTTTCCACCCAAGCAAGGCTTCAAGGGCTTGATTTGGGTATAGAGTGATGGCATTTGTCCCAAGTGGGGTTTTTTGTTATTATAATTTGGGTTTATTTTCATCATTTAAAGATTAATGAGTTACCCCATGGTGTGGATATTGCACTTCACCAATATGGATAGTAACCCCCTAGGTCTTAGTCAGATAATCTTTGGGAACCACTGTGGCTGAAAAACTCGAAAAAAAAAAAACTGAAACCATTTGATGGCCAGTCTTCTAGGGAGGAAAATTTAGGTAATAAATAGACCTTCATGGAATGAAATCTACATCAAGGCCTTGCAGGGCCATGTGTATCCCAACCTGGCTTCTCTAGAGCAGTGGTGTCAAATTCAAATAGAAACAGGGCCACCAAACCATATATAAGAGTCCTTGTGGGCTGCATATTGACTTAGAAAACCATACATGTTTATATATTTCTTTTTTTATTAGTATATCAACACATTGAATATATTATATTGGATATATTATAATATATCCAACACATTGGATATATTATATTTTATTATTATATTTTAATCTGTTTTGGGCCACACTCAGGAATGTTGTAGGTCACATTCAGGTCTCATGTTTGACACCTCTGCTCCAGAGAGCTCCTTTTAATTTCAGTTGCTGTTGCTGACAAATCCAGAAGCATCACCCTTTGATTAGTGGAAAAAGATGATAAAATCTTATCTGAAGAATCTACACCATGGGATATCAAGTCAGCACTCTCCTATTGGGTTAGCCAAGAGAGAACCAAGTCTACAATCCAATACAGGTATAACCTGGAACCTATCATGGGCAGGACCTAAAATGGTCTCAGTTTACACCTGAAGAGGGATGAAGGTGGGAAAAAGATGCTACAAGCAAACATCACAAAAGAGACCAAAGACCTGCTCCATCATGCATGGAGGTGGTCAAGAGAACCTACCATTTCATCCTGCGTGGGGTCATTGTCAAAGATTTTCATTGGAGGAGGAAGTGGTGTGTGGGATTCTTCGTCTGGCTCATCCTCACCCCAACCTTTCTTGCTCTTCTACAACCAAGAAAGCGCCATTAATCATAGAATCATAGCATCATGAATCTAGAGCTTAGCACAGAGCCTGCTGCATAGTAAGTGCTTAACAAATGTTCTGTCTTTCTCTCTAGAGGTGGAAGGGGCCATAAAGGCCACCTAGTACCACTCCTCCCTCCTTGTTTTTACCAATTAGGAAGTTGAGACTTAGGGAAGTTAAATGACTTCCCCAATATCACATAGATGTTTAAGTGTTAGGAACAGGACTTGAACCCATGTTTTCTGACTCCACAACTCTTAGTTTTTCTACTGTACCATGATGCCTACAACCTTATGTGAACACAGTATCCTTGGTTTGATAGTTTTTAAAATAAATACTACAGGACCAGGTTGAAAATTGAGGCACCACCTTCATTTATCCCACTTCTCCTCCTCTCCAAAAAGGTGATTATGAATTCCTTGTGGTATGGTAAATATAATCATTTGTTACAGCCTTAATCTAGATGATTGGGGGTTGTTTAGATGAAGTCCAGATGAGAAGTAAGGCACCAGATTAAATGTTGGCTTTCTCTTCTAGTTCAAAGACTCTGTTCAATTTCAGTCCTAGAAAGTCTCTGTCTGATCAGTCATTCAGGTATGAGTCAATACATGATTCCCTGTTTTAGTGAATACTGAGCATAATGATTATGACTGATAGGCTTAGAAAAAGCCGAAAGAATGATTTACTTAACCCAAAGGAGAAAGTTGTAGAGGAGGTGTTGGAACTGGCCAAGCACTTTAAAAACCCATGAAAAGATATGGTAGAGGGGGCATGAAGGCCCAACTAAGAAGGACCCAAAATCACACCTCCTCCCACTTCCCCATCAGTGGGCCACTTTCCACTAGAGGACCCTAGGACCCACAGGGTAAGTACCTCATCAGCACTGTCCCCCTGTGGGGTGGTTTCATCGCCAGTCTTGGGAGATCCCAGATCGAAACTTTTCCGACCATCTCGTACTTTCTTTTGCTTTTTGATGTTGCTCTCAGCTTTGCCACTGTTGAGCCTGCGCACGGGACTGGTCAACCATTTCTTGAGGGTGTTGGTGGAACGTTTGGGACCTGGAGAGCTCTGGATGGAGTTTAAGGAAGACTGAGGTTGGAGATTGGCCACAGACTCTGACTTGCCTCCATTTTCACCTGAAGAGACTGAGTAAGCATCTGCAGAGAGACAGAGAAGGGATAAAAGATACAAACAAGGGTCAAGCAGGCCAGCAGACCCAGTTATGATCCCTAGAGCAAACCAAGCACATTCTCAGGATGCCTGGCTACCAAGCAGGGTCCGTCTAGGGGCTTAGACCACAGCTGCTCTCTCCCACTCTAAGAAGACACAAACAGGACCAGTATATGTTGTGGTGTAGTGAAAAGAACAAAGGTTCTGGAGTTTGAATTCCATCAGGGGACCTTGTAATCATGTGAAAATCAGTCATTTAATATGGGAAAATCATTTGGCTTCTCTAGACCTCAGTTTTCTCATTTGAAAAATAAGGCGTTTGTACTATATGGCATCCAAAGATCCTTCTAGCTCTAAATACACAGTCCTATGACTTCTATCCTTCTCTTCTCACTCTCCCTGCCCCAACTCCTGATTTACTGATTTACCGTCTTCAAGGAAGAGCCTTACATTGTATCACAGTGCACTGGTCTTCAACCACCTCTAGACCAAGAATGACTAAATTATATTTTAGATCTAAGCAAATTATTGTACTCAACTCTCTACTCGATGTATTGATGGAAGGGAGTGGTATCACAGAGAACTCAAATCATTTCTGTTTTCTTAGGCATATATCACATGATTTAACAACTTCTCTTTCTAAGGATGCCAAGTCTTAGCTGATATTAAAATGAGATCTTATTGCTTGAGCTCACACCAACAGAGCATGGAAGTGATCCAGAACCATGCTGGGAGGCAAAGCAAAGCCATTTGGAGATTAAATATTGGTTATGGATAATTCACAGGGAGATAGTTCAGAGTGGATTGTAAAGTAAATGAGTTTTGTTCCAACAGAACTTGAGAACACACATTCTGTTCTCCAAAGACCCTTGAGACAGTGGAGTGCCTCATAACTCTATGGAAATTCTATTATCCCTATGGACCAGCATTAGGATATCCTTAAATTATCATACTCTTATCCCCAAAAAGCATACCCCTCTTTCCTACAAGACTCCAGGCAAGTTATTCAACCTCTAAGGGCTCTAAGCAACTCTGGAAAACTAAGTTGCAAAGAAATTGTTGACCTGCAACTGGTGGAGGCCATTACCTAACCTGGGAGTTCCCTATACCAATGAAATCACAAGTCCAGTCCTTAATGGCTATACTTTTACTATTTGTTGTTGTTATTTAGTCATTTTTCAATTGTGTCCAGCTCTCCATGACTCCATTTGTGGTTTTCTTGGCAAGGATATTGGAATGGTTTGCCATTTTCTTCTCCAGTTCGCTTTACAGATAAGGAAACTGAGGCAAACAGGATTAAGTGACTTGCCCAGGGTCACATAGCTGGTTAAATGTCTGAGGCTAGATTTGATCTCAGATCTTCCAGATTCCAGGCCTGGCACTCTATCCACTGTTCCACCTAGCTTAGAGAATTGTTGTGAGGAAAGCACTTTGTAAATCTGAAAGTATGAAATAGATGGGAGCTGTACAGGATCATAAATTTAGAGCTGGAGGGGACGCTAGTGGCAGAGAGTTCAGCTCCTTCATTTTACAAATTAGGGAATAGAAGCACAGTGAGGTTAAGGGACTTAACCTGAGGACTTGTTTCTATGTTCTCCACTTGAGTATAGGCATTGCCATGGGTAAACACTTTGGGTGACCCTGCTTTAGTCTCTCTGATATTACTGCAACTTTTGTCGGAACTATCTATCAACATTTAAAGAGATAATATAAATGCTTTAAAGTGATTTCATCCCCTCCCCACTCCCTACCTCTTTCTGCTCCCCTCCAAGGCAAAGAGGCCTTGCTCACTCTAGGTACCATAGTATACTTGTAAACATCAGTAGATTAGGCTTAAATCTTGATGCTATGAGTCACCACATCTCTCTGGGAGTGAATTTCCTCATCTACAAAATAAAGGAGTTAGACTAGATGGTCTTTAAGTGGCTAGCCTATGGTCACACAGCCAGTAAGTGTCTTAGGCAGGATTTGAACTCAGGTCTTCCTGGACCCAAGTTCAACATTTTCTAGCCACTGTGCCACCTAAATCCTGGCCCAGATAACTCCAGCGTCAACATGAAAGTGCCACAGGATCATTGGTTTAGAACTAACAGGGCCCTTAGCGTTAGAGGTCATATGGTCTAATCCCCTCATTTTCAAAACGGGAAAAGTGAGGCCCAGACAAGTGAAATGACTTTTCCAAGGTGACACAGCATATTGTAAAGGTCCTTTACCTCCAAATCCAGCACTCCTTTCACTGTTCTACATTGCGTTATCACATCCTGAAACGATGACAAATATTTGGTTCATCCACGAACCAAATTGGCAGCAAGCACTTTGTTATTTCAAAAAGTCAGTGATCAGGTATTATCCATGTTTTTGAGGAGGATCAACCTTTGAACACTGGCATTAAGAGGCCTAGAGTTAAGCCCTCAAACTTCCTTTCTCAGGTGTCTAGGATGAGCAAAAGGACGCTCTACAGAGGAAAACCAACACGGAAGAACGAATTGTCTTTGTTGGTGAGTGTCTCTTTAAGGGAAGAGCTAAGGTCTTATTTTGGAAAATTCCTTCCTGGCTTTGGGGTGTGTGTGTGTGTGTGTGTGTGTGTGTGTGTGTGTGTGTGTGTGTGTGTGTGTGTGTGTGTGTGTGTGTGTGTGTGTGTGTGTGTGTATACATACATTATTTTCTGGGTGTTTGTTGTGGGGAGAACTCCTGCTGTACATAGGGCCAACGGATAAACATCTCCACAGGGCCAGTTGTAGGAACCAGAGATTCTCTGCTATCTCCCTACTGATAATCTGCAGACACTTTCCATTCACCGACCTCCTGGACTACCACGTGTCTACCTGAAATCTCAGCCTTAAAAACTCAGCTTTATCAGCACACACAGTTTTAGCAAAACCCAAGGTCTCGGCATTGTTAACTTTACCCTATGTTGATAAGCACTACCGAGGATGTGCTGTCCAAGTTCTCTGTTCCATGGTACATCATAGCCTGGCCGCAAGATACAAGTCTTTCATACATTCCTTGATTGTGGCCCCACCTCCACCCTGCCCCCAGCCTTTTTCTTTCTCCTTTGCCCTATTTATTTCCACTGAGAATTTCTATGCAAAATTAATAGTATAAACTTCAAGAGGGTCTCACTTCTATCCTTGCAAATTTGGACACCTCAAATGTTAAGTTCTCCTTTATGTACCACGGAGAGCCTGCCTCTGTCACTTTCTATTTGTGTGACTTTGGACATGTCACTTCACTTCTTAGACCTTTCCTTATCTGTAAAACGAGGGGTTCAGCCAGATGGACTCTAAAGTATCTTCTGACTCAAAATCAGTGGTCCTAGGATACAATTCAAGCTTGACCGCATACCAGAGAGCCTAAGATTTGGAAGATACCTACTAAGGTTTAGTTTAGGAGAGTGTCCAAGCTACTCCAGACATAGAGTATGCTCAAAACCCTCCAGAGGCTCACTCCTTTTAAGACAAACATCATACAGGATGAAACAAACTAATTCAACGGTTTCTAACATAAATTTTTTGGCCAGATAGTCAAGGTCAAGATCTTCTATGATCTGGCTCTAATCTATATATTTTCATTCTTAATAACGATGAGTCACAGTACTCACCTTTTCACATGCTATGTTTCAACCAAGCTAGATTAGTTATTCCCAAATCGCATCCAACTTTTTATTACTCTTGGGCATTAACACAGACTCTCCCTGTGCTCGGGGTACATTCCCTCCTATAACTCCACCTGGTAAAATCCCTCTTTTTCCTTCAAGGCCATCTTAGCAGCTGCAGCTTCCATAAAGCCTCGCCTGATTTTTCATCTCACCACCCCCACATTTCCTTCCTCCCTCCGTCTCCTTTCCTTCCTTCCATCCTTCTTTCCTTACTTCCTTCTTTCCTTCCTTCCCTTCTCTTTCCTTCCTTCCCTTCTCTTTCCTTCCTCCCTCTCCTCCTTTCCTTCCTCCCTCCTCCTTTCTTTCCTTTCTCCCTACCTTCCTTCTTTCTTCCATTCCTTCCCTCCTTCCCTTTCCTCCTCCCTCACTTCCCTTCTCTTTCCTCTTTCCCCCTTCCTCCCTCCCTCCTTTCTTTCCCTTCCCTCCCATCTTCCCCCTCCTCCTTTCCGTCCTTCCCAATTCCCTTCCCTTCCCTTCCTTCCTCTCCTTATCTCACTCAGGCTGGAAGTGAGCATCCACTCAAGGTTTCAAACTCAGTGCAAACTGGTAAAGAAACTTTAGCCTGCTCCATTTTTCTAACCTGGGTCAATCTACCCCTTCTTAAGCGGCCCTGTACCCCACCTCTTCCAATTCCTGAGATCATCATCTTAGTGCCCGATGGAATACAGATACCCACTTGGCCTCAGCCCTACTACAGCTTTGGAACTCCTGAATTCAAGTGATTAGCCAGCCTCAACCTCCTCCAGTAACAAGGATTACAGGTGTGAATCCCTATAGGAGCCACTATATTTCTTGTAACATCCTGGTTGGCTTCCCCCTTTGTACGTCCTGCCTTTCCTCTTACTGATTATATGTCTCATCCAGCATGGGATAGTCCTCGCTCCCAAGGAGCTTATAGCATTGTTCTCCATCTTTATGTCTTTCACATGGTCAATGTAGAATAATTGACTTGTTAAATGGAATTGCACAGCAGGCACTTAAAATGTTCCTATTGGTGAATGTTCTTTGGGATGGAATTGGAAGGACTTTGTACGTGGGGCAAATAATTCTTTGTACTTTTTTTCTGCACTTGTACTTCATTTCCTATCCCTGAACCCAAGTTTTAAAGGGACTTTAGAGATCATCTAGTCTAACCTACTTCCCACTAGGGAAATTGTTGTTGTTAAGTCATTTTCAGTTGAGTGTCCAACTCTTCGTGACCCCCATCTGGGGTTTTCTTGGCAAAGATACTGGAGTGGTTTACCATTTCCTTCTCTAGTTCATTTTGCAGTTGAGGAAACTGAGGCAGAGTTAAGTGACTTGCCCAGTGTCACACAGCTGTCCGTGTTC